TCTATGTAGCTTTCCGACGAGCGTTTTGTTCTGTTCTTGTACTATATATAGGTTGTAAATATCTCCTGACGAGTGTTTTTGTTTTTCCTGGTATATATGAGGGGTGATCAAAAAGTTCGCGAACTATCTGTATATCTACAAAACCACATTTCAGAAAAGAATGAAATTTGGTACACACATCGCCATACACAAGTTCTATAAATAGCATATACTGAATAAAGCTTTGCTCCTTGTTTGTGACGTCACAATGTGAAAATGACATCACTATATAGGTCACTTGTGACGAAAAATGGTTGTCTCAGTCGTACTAGTTCAACAAACAACTGTACAATTTGTTGCATATCTTAGTAATTCCATTGCCGTAGCATATAATAATTTGTACACAGTTTATTAAGACAAATGACTTCCTATAAATTCAATCAATGATTGGATTGATCGTTTTAGTGAAGGAAGGCAGATGGTTAAAAATGATACTTGTCCTACTGCCCAATGAAAGTTTGAAAAGATATGCGTTTTTAATTTATCTATTTGCTATCAAAGAACTCCAATTTACACTTTGAAAACTAGTTGAATATTTGAACAATTGTATAATTATTAAATAGCTAAGATATCGTTTACTTTAGATTTAAAAATATTAGATATGACAAAAAGGAGGCACCCATTCTCTATCCATCTTGAATAAACGTCTCTCTCGAGACAGAAGTTTTGTGTATTAATAGTCGCCATGCTTATTTTTGGAAAGGGTATTCTTATCCACCCATTCTGTTGCCGAGATTTGACCATTTCTGACAAATGAACTGTTCTTGTTATGAAAATTAACTTACAGGGAAAGAAATATAAAGCTCAGAAAAATCTTTCGGCCTCTGTGACAGAACGCTATGGAGGGGGACACGTGACCGCCAATATCACGTGATTCGCGCATGCACAGAAAGGTGGCTGATGTGCATTAAAATTGGAGAGGATTTATTTAAAATATAATCAACACTGTAAGCAAATATTGTTTCTTCTATGGAAGTTATTCAAATAGTTCGCGAACTTTTTGATCACCCCTCGTATACAGGTTGAGGGGTCTCCCGATTAGCGTCTTTGTCCTGTTCTGTAAAATAGGTTGTAAGTATTTATGGACAAAAATATTTGTTCTTTTCTATATATAGGTTATAGGGATCTCCTGAAAACTGTTTGTTTTGTTCTATATATATAGGTTGTAGGGGTTTTCGATGAGTGGTTTCATTCTATTCTATAGATATGTTATAGGGATCTCCTGACAAATGTTTTTTGTTTTGTTCAATATTTAGGTTTCAGGGTTTTCCTTATAGGTTCTAGGGGTATCCTGACGAGTGTTTTCGTTCTATATGTAGGTTGTTGGGGTTTCCTTAAGGGCGTTTTATTATGTTCTATATATAGGTTGTAGGGTATCCTTACGAATTGTTTTGTTCTATATATAGATTGTAGGGGCATCCTGACGAGTGTTTTTGTTCTATATATAGGTTGTAGGGGTTCCTGATCAGAGGTTGGGGGAGGAGATTTGTGCCTGGATACAAGTTAAAGAGAACCAGACTGTTACAGAGGAAGAAATAAAGTCCTACTGTAAAGAAAAGGTGAGTATTATCTTAAAGGTAAATCAAATTATACTATAAAGAAATGGTGAATATTTCCCACTGAAAGGAAAAAGGTAAATCAAACTGTATTGTAAAGAAAAGGTGAATTAAGGCCAAATGCAAACAAGTTAAATCGAGGAAATTGTAAAAAAAAAAAAAGAGTGAATCGAGTCATCTTGTAAAGAAAATGCAATTAAAGCCCCAAGAAGCTTGTTATATTTCAAATATTGTTATAAGCTTGTAGACTTGTTATATATCATTTTTCCATTTAAATGACGCTTTTTGTACATTTATGAATTTTTAAGGATTATTATATATAGTTTTGCTTGAGAATTTTGTATGACTTAAGTCTTTTTTCACAGCTTGCGCGATTCAAGGTTCCTAAGTACATCGCCATTGTTGACGAGTTTCCTCTAACAGTAACAGGGAAAGTCCAAAAATTCAAAATCCGGGAGGTTGCCATGGAGAAACTTGGACTTGAACACATAAGACCACACTAATAGTCTTAAGGTCATACGCAAAGTACATGTACATAAATTTTACAATATATACCTTTTCAACTTAAAATTTGCCGAAATATTCTTTTAGAATCCAAAGTCCATAATACCATCAGATGTTCTTAAACTAAAATCAGGATTATATTACCAGTATCTTTTGTAGAGATATCAAATGATGAAAATACTTTTTTTGAAAGAAAGATTAAGAAAACAATAGCTTAACCTTCTATCTCCTCAAAATTTTATTCAGAAAAGATGTACAGCATTACCCAGCGTCATAAAATTGCACAATGGTCCTTCAGTTTTTGGAACTCCTTAATCATACAGGAATTAGTAAAAATAGTGTTCAAAATTTCGTTGTGTATGTCCTTAAACAAGCAGAGGCCATAAAATAGTTATCAACCTGGTGAACAGATATTGTGTAAACCGGAGTACTTAAAAATTACAATCATTTACGAATGTTATATTGAGTGTGATATTCAATTCACTACTTCGATATTTGTTACATTTTTTGAGAAATTTTAGAACTGTAATTAAGAAAAAGTAAGCATGCAAACTTTTTATAAGTACATTGTGTATGGTATGTATGGAACCAGATGTGCATTTGAGAAAATGTCATCTCAATTAACGTATGTATGAGGAAAAGAAGAAAGTAGTTTAAAATAAAGGTTGTATTAAGGTTTTGTGTGTTTTCTTATTGATAGAGACAAAAGTCCAATTCGAATACTCTGATTGAAGTTTGTTTGATGTCTTACTATTATTATGAGTACTGACACCCCCAACCCACCCCCACCCCTCTTTCATAAATTATTCATTCGAATTTAAAGTGAAAGAGCAACTTTTTTAAAAGGAAATTAATAAATTACATTTAGCACTTGTTGAACTAGTGTTTTGTTTTCTGGATTGTAGTAGTAATAATGTGTTAAGGCCACAAGTCTGCAAGTCTGTAAAAGTGAGAACAACAAATATCAAAATTTTGATTTTTTTTATCCTGAAATCTATGTTATGTTCATGAAAAATTTAGGCCTTGACGATGGACAAATTTCCGAAGATGTTGAATTCAGTATATATTCCGTATATATATTATATGTAAGTTTCTATATTTATTCACATATAGCATATTATTAAGGAGGCTGGGGGTCAACAAATTAACCATAGTCTGAAAATGGCTGCCACCACCACCCCCCCCCCCCCCAGCCTCTTTAAGGTGATTGTACAAAAAACATATAACTATATTTAAATATAATTATTTAATTTATACATAGTAATGCATTGCATATGACAAGTAAATACATATTGACTTTATTACTGATAATCTAAGTCGTTTATTTACGAAGAAAACTGTAAACAAATGCTATGAATTATTAATAAAATACCTTGTGCGAGTTAGTGGTTTAATCAGGAATCGCAAAATATGCAGTATATGGCTCGCTTATTTTACAAAAGAAACGATTTGATTTGATAGTACATCATAATAATAACCATTGAATTTTCTTAACCAATAGTAAATCAAAGAGAGTGTTCAGCAATTCAATCCACCTGATCACAAAAACTTGCCTAACTTTTATTCTCAAAAACATCATTAAATTGTTTAGAAACATGTAGTAAAAATGAAAAAAATTCAATAAATATATTTAATATATATAAATACGCCCACATTTCTATGATTTTACACAAATTTTAAAAACATGCAATATGTTACATGCACCGTTCCTAATAATAATATCATGACTAGATAATGATACTCTCTATTCTATTCAATGTAGCTGTTTGTAAATTATTATATGGGTATTGAATGAGTGATTGTCGGTAGGAATAAAGAGCAGCTTGAAGGTTACCATTAATCTGTTGACAGATCCCTAGGATCTGCCATGATATGTCTCGTAAATTAGCATTGTACATTTCCACCCCCAGATCATTCTAAACCAAGAATTGTAGCTTAATTAAAGCTAATTCTGCGCGTACGGTGTCAACATGTCTGCAGCACAGGAATTCTAACATGTTTAAGAATACGAATGGTGGAATAAACAACACTTGTTCTTTGTACTGTAAAGCAAAACGACGTTCTGTTTCTAGTTCACCGATAATATATTATTCCAGTGTGAAGTAAAACAAATTCTATTATGGTCCGTTTGAATTTTGTTGACAACGAAAGTCCACCAAAAATTTCTGCATACCTGTCTGTATCAATAGCTTGCCTCTCACTATTAATAAAATGATTTTGCATGAGAAACAGATTTATCATTCTGACATTTGTCATCTCTAAAACACACAAAGCTTTTCTGTACCGGGATGTCTGATAATAATACATGTCCAAACAAAAACTTTTCTTAACAAATCATGCCAAAGTCACATACAAATCATATCAAACTCACGAATTCATGGTTTTGAACTATGATTTAGACATGATCCATTTAATGGATCATACTGAAATCATAGATGACAAATTAGGAAGTATGATCCTGATGTGGTTTGTTTCTGGGGTATGAGTCTGCTGTGATTTTCTTGCGATTCTGGCATGTGCCTATAACTTAGAAAACAAAGGAACATGAGTTTGAAATGATTCGTTAACTTTAACTGCTAAAAGTTCGTGATTTTGATATGGTTTCGATCTTAACTTTGTCTTTAAACTCCATATGAGTTACACATGATCTGTTAACTTCTCTTTTGAGAATCATGAGTTTTATATGATTTGTTAACTTTGTCAGAATTGGTTGTATGATCCTGATATGGTTTGTTAACTTTGTCATCTATAATAGTTGAAAATGCAAACTTTAAATTCACTCTAGCTTGGAGAATCAAACAACATGCATACATACATCAATAATAGCCATATTTAGAATTTAAAGAGAACAGGAAAATTAAGTTTTAATAATTAGAATGCACACAGCATGTACTGGTAGTTACAAAGACAATCATTTTTTAAAGTTGAATGAAATGGCAAATAAATAAATAAATACAATAATTCATAAATAAATTAGCACACAAGTATACTGTTTAAATAACACAGCTAGGATTTTATTAAAATCTTTCTCTTCATATAATATTTGCGATCCACTCCCAATCTAACTTTGAGGCATTAGATTAAGATTGGCTCACTGGTCAGTTTCAGAGTTATAGTAACCTTATTATGCAATTCTCCTGCTGGGCAGCACGCTGTAGTATAGTGGTTTGCAGCTTATCTAGGTCAGAATTTGAATTCTGATAAACAAGATGTGCGCGTTTTCTTGTTTCCGATTTAAAAGAAAAGACTTTTCATCATATAAGCAATAAACATAAGTGCTGGACTATTAACTCTACTCGGTGAGTATAATTCATTAATTTTCTTATTGATTTTTTTTTTCAAATTTCTAGCTTCTAACCAGCTATAGTGCATGGTTTAATTTTTCTTTGTATATTTGTAGAAGAGACATTATAACAAAGCTTTACATAGATTTGAATTGAAAACTTATTTAAGCATCAAATTGACCTCCTTGATTCAAATATTTGTTGTACATGTACATTTGTAATGTTAATCATTATATAAAATGTTTATTTATAAAAATGAAATTCTTTTGCAGCTACTATCAGTTCCATCTTCATGTTTAACATCTGAGTTGCATTCAAATTACCACATTTGAAAGACCCGCCTTTGGTGAAGACAAAATTTGTGTACGTAAATAATATTACATTTTAACAATACATGTATTATTATTTCGGTGATTAATCTAATTCTTTTCATTAATGAAATGGGGAATGTACTTGAATTTTTCATATTTTCATGATCTACAGATAATGATAATTATGTTGATCTATAAATAAATACCATTTTCTCTGCGTTTCTTTTCAGGGTGTTACACAAATCAAGAGCTTATATCAGAGGATAGACTACTTCATTGGGAGCCTTTTCAGTGTTTGTGATTCTGAATAATAGATCCACCACTCTGCTGATTCTGTGGTGAACAAATGTTGTAATGATATGCTTTTGCAGAATCATAAATAAGCAGTGATTTCAATTAGTGCTGGATTATTCTTTAAGAAGAATGGATTTCTGTGATCCTGTTCTTTTAAAATTCAGTGAATAGTTTAGATAATGTTTAATATTTAAATTGTCATCTGATTATAAGGAAGATTATTTGTTGGGATTATATCTATATGACGTCAGGTTCATGTGACATATGCGTATAATTTTTTTTTTAATTTTTGGTAACTGAAATTATATATCAAATATTAAAGGGATTTTTATTGCAAATATCAAAGTGTTTAGTAAAATTTTATAAGAAGTAGAATTTTCCTATGAGTTGTTAACTTTAACAGATCATACCAGGATCATGATTTTGAAACGAGTTGTTAGCTACAACAGATCATACCAGGATCATGGTTTTAATACGAGTTGTTAGCTACAATTGAACATACCAGGATCATGGTTTTAATACGTCAGTTGTTAGCTACAATAGATCATACCAGGATCATGGTTTTAATACGAGTTGTTAACTAAAATAGATCATACCAGGATCATGGTTTTCTTGCTAGTTGTTTAGTTTAACAGATCATCTAGGAACCATGATCCATTAGCTCATTTGCATGTGAAATTTTCCTATACCGAAATCATATCAAAACCATGATTTACACATGAGTCGTTAGCATGATCCCAATAGGCTGTTTTTCTGTTTGGGATATGGCAAGATAGAAAATTTCAGAAATACAAACGAACGTGGCGACCAATTTTAACATCTTACAGGAAATCTTATCGAAAATGTACATAGCTTTATTTTGTCTCCTTTGATGTTTATATTATTAAATTTTTCGATGGGTATGCAAATTATATATAAAAGATGCAGTTTTTCGAAAAAGTACAACGGTATGTTTTGTAACAAGACAATTTGATATCTGGACAGAGGAAAACCAGTCAACTGTTTTAACTGGTTCAATGCCATTATTAAACAGTTCCGATCTACGCCTGGTAGTGTATCTTTAAAGCAAATCTGTCCGAAGAACTCACTATCAAATTTAACTTCAGATACTTTGGTGTGTTCATCTAAACAAATTGTAGGACTAGGGCTATAGAGTGCACTCATGATATAGGGTCTGATAGAGGGACTCTGTAACAGGCGTGATACACCCCTCTCATATAGTGTATACAGTCTAAGGAATAAATTAACTTGTGAATCGCCATGAATATTAGACAAAAACATGTTGTTCTCTGGAATAAAAAAGTTAGGACACACGTACTCCCTCATACACCTATTTGAGAATCAGTTTAAAACAGACCCAGAAACACTGTAGGAGATTTTGGGGACTCCACTGTGGGATATTATTTTCTTGGAGAACCCAGAAAATAGCTGTCTTCATATGATAGGAACAAAGTAATTTTCTTTCCTCCCCTAATTTGAAGTTGATTACTTCATTTAAAATCAATTTCAATAATCCGTAGGTTAAAAATTGGCAGTGATTCATCGAATACACAAGTTTTTGTTCTGCAACATAGAAAGATATTCTCCATTCATTGTTTTCGTGATTTCCAAGTTTGTGTCCTGTTGCAACAAAGTGACACCCATTTCTAACAATATCATTGATAATGCTAGGTTTTGGCCATGAATTACATCTGTCAATCCATGAGGAGGCAATTGGAGGCCAAAAGTCACAGGCAAAACAGTTAGCATAATCATATTCACATCCCCCAGAAACACAAAGATTACATGGACCATATATAGTAGAATTAGACAAAGGTGTTGACATCTTAAAAGTTTTTTTGAATTTAGAACTAGATATATAATATTTGCCATTCAATCGGTAGTACGCTGGCAGATAATCTGAATCCCAACGTCCTGTTAAACAAAGCAAAGTGTACCCTGGTGGGCTATCCGAAATGTCTGCAAGAATTAATACACATGCGTATTTCTTGTAATACTGGGTCTGAGATAAGTCCCAGATTACTCGGTGATTATTTCGCCAAATCATATCATCCCTATCAGATCCTTTCCATCTGAATCCTTCTCCATAATTTCCAAACGACATTTGTTTTATATTAAGTCCCTCCAAGTTATCACGCATCATATTTATGAAATTAGTTACATCCCTCCTCATGGCCACATGTTGTGGAATCCCTACTATCTTATTGACGCCCATAAACACAGTCTGCATTCTTCTCTCTCTAAAACAAAAAAGGTAAATTATTGACAAGCAATTTGATGGAATAAGACTATTAGCAGTGTCGAAAGTCATCCTTTCGTAATTTCTATAGTCGATCCAATGACCTTGTAAGCAAAAACAATTTATCATTGTGCCAAATGGTTACTGACGTTTTTCATACAAATTGTTCATTATTTATACACTGAACTGACGACGGATTTTTCTGTTTTTTCCCGATCATGACAAGGAGAACACGGCGGGTATGACCGGTCAGCAGGGGATGCTCACTCCTCCATGGCACCTGATCCCATCTTTAATATTTTGAAGGTCCGTATTTGCTCTGCTCCTATTGTGAATTGTTTTATGGACTTTGATATTGAATACTGTTCGTTATCTCCATATTCTTCTTCTAATATAATGATACATTTTAGCGTCATATTAAATTATATGTGTGTATGTGACATGATTACATGAATTCGTACCAATGTCAGTTGTTCCTTCGATTCATTTTCCCTGATATGTTTTGCTTGGAACTTTCAATTGAATTAGATTTAATACTTTTGTCCGGATAGCTGTCGAGGAATTTCTCATATAGTGCAAGTTATTGCAGCCTGGAGGACCGTGCTGCTCTATACATATGCATTTAAGTGTTGGGGTATGGGGATTGAGGTGGGAGAAGTTATTCAAAGTTAAAGGTTATCTAAACATTAAAAAGATTGTCAGTCAGAATGTTCTTTCCCTTTATGAATTACGGGATACATTATTTATTTATTTCCATAAAGTGAATTTGTAAAAATATATATTTTTGATATTTAATATATAAAGTTGCTTCTCATTTAGTATCGAAAAAAGGACAGGTCCCTTTTTAGAACATCGATTTTTTCTTATCGCATAAAACGTAATCTACACAGATCGTGTTTAATATTCTGAAATACATGTACATTTCTGAAAACAGATACTGCATGAGTCTAGTTTCAGTTTATATTTTATGCATCCAACATTTACTTAAGAAATTGATAAAGTTTAAAAGGGGCATTTTTTGTTCGATTTTCACCCGACTATAAGTTTTCAAAATATTCTCGACTATCGTCTCTATCATTTAGACGCATGCTTTTTTCACACATATTGAAGCGGTTTAATGATCAATTAACATAATATGGCATTATTAATATTAGTCATGTCATACTTTGAAAGGTGGGGGCCCAGCATACGAGGGACGTTCAATAAATAATGTCTTCAGCCCGATGACATACAACATAGAAATCATTTGCCATTAAGCTTGACTTTCTCTAATTATTGAATCTATAATGAGTTGATAACAGTTTATGTGACCACTATTCATCGCATAATTCCATTGTGAGAAGCTGGAAAACAAGGGCTACTCGAGACACTGCATGTAAAATGAATAGTCATGAATCAGTAAACTATAGATTGAAATTAAACGCTCATTAAAGCTGCTGTAAAACCTATGAAGAATTCCAAAGATATATTAACTGAAATTTACAGCAACCAATGCCCGTTTTATACACACATGAGCAGGCGGATATCAATGAACAAAAATGATATAATGGACATTAAATATCGGTACCGTCCTTGGCTACAAGGACAAACAACAACCAATGTATATTTGCGAAAAATCAATAAATTATCACTGAGTTTGTTTGACTTTAATAATCATGAAATATTTTAGAGACATCATTTTGGGGATACTTCACACTGTTTTAAAGAAACATTTGATAGTAAAAAAAAGTTTAATGCTCAAAGGTCACCAAATATTTTGAAAAATGAGTGAAAACGACAGCGTGTAGGAATATCTAAACAATTATTTAAAAAAAATGAAAAAAATTGTACTTATCCATGTTTGTCTGAAATTCAAACAAATAATGAAACATGAATCCATTTTGCTTTAAACCCTCAAAACAAATATACAATGAAATACAGTTGACAAAACAGCAAAGGGCTGAAAAGAGCAAAGAATTGCAAGAGCACAAAAAGAGTTTTATATGCTATTTTCTTAAATATAAGTGGTCTTGTTGTTCAAATTCATTTTGGGGCATTAATTTCAATTTCTGGAAGAGTCTAGAAAGCAAAATATTTGCAAAAATTGAAAGGTTTATGAGTGGAAGGAGCAAGAAGGAGGAAATCACTACATTAAATATCTTCATGACAGCGTCCAAACTCACAGACTATGAAGAGTAGATTAAAGGGGATAAAAAGAAAGTTAATGTTTTGTCACACCAACAATATTGGCCAGCACTTTTAACGTTTAACTTGTTTCATTTCCCAAACTTGTGAAAAACACCTTTCAGAAGAAAAAAAAACAAGTACAGGAGAAATCATCGGATCTGCAATATTCCAGTATACGAAGGGTCATACTAAAAATGTGTTCTAAAAACAATTAGAAATTGAATAAAAATGTTACGCACATGTGTTTTAATTAAAAATGAAATTTTAGTAGGTATCTAACTTATGAATTGCATTCAGTATCCCCCCCCCCATCAGAATCGCACTTATTTACACTTTCTCCAGAAAATAATGATTGAATTCGACATTTCCACTCGGCAAGCATTTTCACGCTTTTTACGCAGATAAAAGAAAACACATGCATACCATATATGGGTGTGTAGATAAATTATCCAAGAAGACAATGGTAAAAAGGTAAAAATCAGTTTGCTTATGCATTTCTTCTGAAGGAGTAAATGAGTGTCTTTCTGAGGAGGAGGTACCGGGGTATTTAGTTTTATTTGGAATAACATGCTTATGTTATTTTATACAATGGGCTAAACATATATTTCCGAAATATATGTATTTGTTAGTCAGCAATACATTTTATCATTCATTGAGTCAAATGTTGACCGACTTTAATTTTTTCATACTAGTTGTTATTCCATTATTTATATACACTGAATTGACGACAGATTTTTTCATTATTTCCCGATCATGACCTGGAGCACACGGCGGGTGTGACTGGTCAGCAGGGGATGCTCACTCTTCCAGGGCACCTGATCCCACCTCTGATGTTTTGGAGGTCAGTGTTTGCTCTGCTCCTATTTTGTATTGTTTTATAGACTTTGATATTGAATACTGTTCGTTATCTCCATATCTTCTAAGTGTTATTATATTGAAGATGATAATCTTTGATTCAATAAATGTGTATAAATTTCTTTCGGGATTAATTAATTTTGAATACTATGTGAGGGTTTCATTCTCGTGATTAACAGATATACAGTTAAATGTTTATATAAAACAGTCTTAAAACTGATTGTTACTGTTTTCTATTACATAAAGAAACTATTGATAAATTAAATTGACATGTCAGTAAAAATAATCATGACTGAATAATATTCAAATTTTCAATTCAAATTTAATTTGTATATAAATATAAGTTTGCAATCACAATCACAGAAAATATAGAAAATGAATTATTATGATAAAAAATTAATATACCATATAATTGTGTTTAAATATTTATGTTATAAATTGGTGTGAAAGTTTTCTTCATTCAATAATTATAATTTTTTGTTTCTATGCGTGCACTGTTCAGAAATGACTCACATAAGCATTGTAAGCATTTTTTGATATTACTCAGAATCATTTTCAACTGCCATTTTTGTGACATTGTTTATTGGCAATCCCATTTATATGTAAGCCTTGCCCATTAGATTTATAAGCCCCGCCCACTAGGACCGCTGGGACTGCTTTCTGTGACCGCTGGGACTGCTGGGACTGCTGGGACCGCTTTTGGACTGCTCTAGTTTAAAATATCAGATTAACTAATGAAATGTATTAAACACCAGATTAACTAATGAAATATTGCATTGAAAAAAACCACTGTAACGAAGGAAATATTTGTTTATAACGCCAGATTATTAACTGATGAAATATTGTATTAGGCCTAAACCATTATGTTAACTGATAAAATATAATTTTAAAACATCACATCAAATAATTAAATATTGCATCAAAATATTATATTAATTTATGAAATATTGCATTAAAACACAAGAATAACAAATGAAACATTGATTTAAAACATCAGATAAAAATCAGATTAACTATTGCAATATGGCTTAAAACATAAGCTTATTAGTGAAATGTCGCTTTAAACTTTATTTGCTAAATTAAATAATTAAAATCAAAAACACTAAAACATGAGAACAACTAAATCATTATATATACTTTTATTATTATAAAATAGTCATTTTTTTTATTTACAGCGCGTGACGTTTTTCTTTTTAGGGGGTAAGTAAGGTTGGTTTTTGCTCTTTTTGTTAATTTTTTTTACCCAATCATAAATGAAAATTATAACGGTATCAAAAGTAAGGCAAAATATGCTTTTAAATACAAAATGTTTAAAGGAGAATTTTTTTTATCAAAATTGAAAAGCGGGTGAGATAAAGAAAGAGGAATAAGTAATAGTCTACCCATAGTATACTAAATAAATTTTACATAATTTTCAAACTCGTTTTATAGACTTTTGAACTTGAAAACTGTTTGTTATCTCCAATGTTTCATTGATGATAATAATGATAATCAATGTTATATAATAATGAAATTATAAGTTCATTACGTAAAACAAAACTGGTATTAAAATTCACAGAAACATGAAACCATAAAAAATCACGTTACAAGCACGATTTTTGAACGGTTAATATTACTTTCATTAAATCATGATATTCTGTATTCTTTCCTTTGACGCATTGTGTAATTTATGGAATGGATATTGTCTGGGTGATTGTTGGTAGGAATACAGAGCAGCCTGGAGGTCTCCAGTAATTTGTTGACAGATCCCTAAGATCTGCCAGGATATGTCTCTCAATTCTGGAGGGATATGTATCCCCTGATCACAGTGAACTAGGATCTGTAGATTACTTAGAGCTAGTTGTGCACTTAGAATCTCAACACGTCTAAAACAGAGGAACTCCAGCATATATAACAATATAAAAGGTGGGATGAGTAACCCGTCCCCTTCCTTTGCCTGTGAAGCACAGTGTTGTTCTGAAACTAATTCATTGATATAAACTCTGTCTTTGTTAAGAAGGATAATGCTTGCTACAGCCTGTCCCAATTTTGTAGACAATGAAGTTCCACCTACAGCCTCACTATATATCTGTATGTCAGTATTAAATAAATACATCAGATGTGGCTGTTTCAATCCAACTTTTGTCCTCTCTATCACAGATAAAGCTTCTCTGTAGCGGCATGTGCGATAATAATTCATGGCGAGGTACAACTTGTCAGTAATACAACCAAACTTAGCTGCCAATTTCAGCATATGACAGGAAATTCTATCAAAAATATATATCACTTTGTTTTTCTCATCTTTGTTGTCGTTATATAATTTAAATTTTTTATGCATATTGTGTAATAGAAATGCAGTGTGCTGAAGCATTACTCCTGTACATTTTTGTAACATGACAACTTGATACTTTGTCAAGGGGGAATTAGTCAATTGGTTTATTTGACGCATGGTTATCATAAAACAAGATAGATCTTGAGGTGGCAATGGTTCATTAAAAATTATCTCTTCGAATAGTTCTACATCAAACTCAGCTTCTGAGATCCGAGTTTTTTCATCTAAACAGATAAAGCTTCTAGGATTATAAAGTGCATTTAATATGTAGGGCCTTAGTGAGGAACACTTTAAGAGGCATGATACTCCATTCTGATATAATTCATACAAACTAAGGAATAACAGTGTTTGTGCTTCACCATGAATTTTTGTGAGAAACATGTTGTTTTCTGGAATGAAAAAATTAGGACACATTCCCTCATATACCCAACTAAGAATGAGTTTAAAGCAGACCCAGAAACACTCCAGAAGATTCTGCGGACACCAGTGCGGTATTTTATTTTGTTGAATCACCCAGAAAACAGCCGTCTTCATGTGGTAGGAACACAGTAATTTACTTTCTTCTGTTTGTTCATAGTTAATAACTTCATTCAAGAACAGTTTCAATAGGCCATAAGTCAAAAATTGACAGTGGTTCATTGAATACACAAGTTTTTGTTCAGCGAAAGAGAATGATATCCTCCATTCATCGTTTTCATAAGTCCCTAATTTGTGTCCTATTGCTACAAGATGACATCCGTTTCTAACAATGCCACGAACAACATGAGATTTAGGCCATGAGTGACATCTGTCAATCCATAAAAAAGCTGACGGAGGCCAAAAATCACAAGCAAAACAGTGGGCATTATCAAATTCAAATCCTTGAAAAACAGAACGGCTGCATGGCCCATGTATAGTGGACGTAGGATTTACTACGGAACATGCGTTTAATATGTACATAGAACTAGATATATAAAGTCTTTCATTCAAAGTGAAGCACGATGACAGAACCATCTCGTGTGCTATCGGTATCGGTAACCAGAGTAAAGTAAACCCCGGAGTGCTTTCTGAACTGTCTGCAAGAATTGGCACATATCCGTTTGTAAAATAATGCTGGGCCTTAGATAAGTCCCAGATCACTCGATGGTGATTTGGCCATATCATTATGTCCCTATCAGAACTTTGCAGTCTGAATCCTTCACCATAGCTCCCACTACATAGCCTGTCCTCGTTAGTATTTGTTCTTGACTGATTTTGAACTATATTCCAAATATCCACAACATCTCTCCGCATGGCAACCTGGTGTTGAGTTCCCAATATTTTACATAGTCCTTCGTACACATACTCTGACAATGGCCGTATATTTTTTTCACTGAAAAGTATAATAATTCTTCTAATTAAATCAATCATTCATTTTATGACAATTTTTTGAAATATTTTGTAATACCTAAACTCAATAAAATTTGTGAATACTGTTGTTATCAAGGTCCGTTTTTTCTCCATGTCACATTTTTTTCTTATTCAATCTCCTCTCAACCAACAAAGAAGATAGATATTAGCAATAAAGTCTTTGCTTGGAGTTTTATTTTTCACCATGGAGGCCATTTGTGGTCAATAAATAATGCTCTTTTACTAAACTGGATTCCAAGAATTCCTCTTCAGTTTTACAATTTGTAACTGTTTGTTTTCACCATATACATGTATTTTCTCACATATATTAAGAAGTTGCTAAATCATCTTTTGGAAAAAAAGATCGCTGCCATTTGTTAGTGTCCTGTAATTAGCAATACGTTATCGGAAATTTTATTTGAACTCTGGGAGTGAAAGGGGATTCGAAAAAATGACAACAGTCTATAAAAACCTTATTCTTAGAGTCCCTCATTAATTTATGTTGAGAGCTTATTTCTATTGCCTATAGTAGCTGCAATAATGTAGCCCTCTCCGACTTTTTTTCATCTGATATTTCTGGAGAGCCCCATCCACAGAAAAGGAGCGGACTACATTATTGCAATCTAAGGTTTTAGACTGTTAATTTTCACTATAAGGGTCAAAAGAGAGACGATTGGTTGTTTTTATAGTGTTTTTATTTACGTCCCATTCTAGAATCCTTCACGCACATAGAGACGTCATCATTTATCAGTGAATGTCTTCAAATTTTGACCTTTACTCGGAACTTGGCAACTTTAAGCGATGAGGGATCTTTATCTTGCCAACGCCTGCAGTTTTCACAATTTTCCCATTAAAACAAATGTTAATCATTTAGTACTGTAATTGCTGACTAGTTATGATATTGCCATATGAAATACTTTCATAAAAGAACCATGTCATTGTGCCATATGCTCCTGTGTTGGATATGGCAGATGCATGTTTTCATTTTGCTATATGTAAAATTCACTGATTATCCTAATATAAAGGAAAGACCCTTTTCCGTCATTTAATTAACAGGCAGCAACTAGTTAAATATTTTTTTCATAAAAAGAATGAAAAGAGTACATGGATATTTTCAGAGCCTAGCTTGTCGACCCGAACTGAACGTTCCCGGAAACTATTTTTGAGCATGTGACATCACATTATATTCTACAGTCTAACTTTTACTCTAAATGACTTGTAATATCCGTTGAACTGGCAGTAACACTTTTCATTTTTAAGGATGTTTAGAAACAGAAATTTGGAGCGACATTATTTGAATGAATAGCAAAAAAATATATTGGGCATAAAATGTGAAATGATTGAAATCCACCCCCCAAAGACAATTTCCGCTTTATCGCTCAGAGACTTCGGTTGAGCATTTCTTCCCATATTCATTCAATAAACTACATCAATAAACATAAAGATTGATTGTCGTACCTGTTGCTGAAATCCATTCCTTCTAGCCATATCCCGCCTTATTCTTTTTTTTAAAATATCTATATTTAGCTTTTGGAAATTCCCCTGAAATCCCCCTTTCGCCTTTATAAATAGCACCTTTGTCATTGTTATCAGTGTTATCATATTAAAGATAATATTTTCATACGTGAATCCATTTTTTTTACTCTATAAAGAGAGAAAAATATCACAGGGCTTGGTTTTCAGTTGATAAGAATCTAATTGTTTATTCCTAATGACATTAAAACAAAATTAGTTTTTTAAAAAATTAAACACTTAGGAAATTATTTTTTTTATCGTCACAAGGAGAGCACGTGTTAGAGGGGAGCCCCTTGTAAGTTACTGATAATCGACAATTTACTAAAGAATGCTTATTTGATAATGGCATAGGCGCTCTTCATGTAATTGTGTAAATAGATAAGTATGTATAGGTCTACCCCTTCTATGCTATAAAATTGAATTTTTCTCCAACAGTTAACTTTGTATTTAATGAAATAGGCATTTTCTGATTTATTGCTGATTTTCATTCTGATCCTTTGACGAGCTGACAGCTGATCCCCGACAGTTCCCCAGGATCTAACTATCATATGCTAGTCAATTTCTTTTATTAACTATGCTTAACTGAAATACAGTTTGTAAATCAATATTATAATTCGTATTATTGTAGCAGTTTGTATTAAAATGAATTCACTGTCTCCATGTCTTAGTGATTGTTGATATGAGTATAAAGCGTCATTGGAATCCCCATTGATCTGTTGACAAATCCCAAGGATCTGCCATGATATGTCTCTGGCTAATGGGGGTATATGTTTTCTCTGATCATAGTTCACTAGGGCTTGGAGATTCTTCAGAGATGTTTGTGCATTAACAGTGTCAGCTTGTCTATAATATACAAGGAACTCAAGCATAAATAACATAATTTTGGGTGGGATGAATAATATATGTTCTCCATTCTGTAAAACGGACTGTTGCTCTATTATTAACTCATTGATGTATACTATTTTGCCGCTGAGTTTGATATGGTCTGTGACAGAATTCCTCATTTTTGTTGACTATGACCGTCCTCCAACACACTCAGTATACTTTTCAAGGTCAAACGTAACCACATATAACAGATGTGGCTGTGCTTATCCAACTTTTGTCCTCTCTATGACAGATAAAGCTTCTCTGTAACGGCATGTTCGATAATGATACATGGCAAGGTACAACTTGGCAGAAATACAACCAAACTTGGCTGCCATTTTCAACATATGACAGGATATTTTATCAAAAATATATATTTCTTTGTTATTGTCATTGTACATGTAAATACTTGAATGCAATAAATTATAAAATGAAAAGGCAGTTTGCTGTAAAATTATTGCTGAAAGGTTTTGTAACATAACAATATGATAATTTGTCAGTAGAGAATATGCCAATTTTTCTATTTTCTGCAAGGCTTTTATGAAAGAGATCAGATCTAGAGTATTTAAAGTTGCATTTTCATGTATCTCTTGGAATAGTTCCATAGCAAAAACAGGATCATGCATCAAGGTGCTTTCATTTATACAGAAGGGGAGTCTTGGATTACAGAGTTCGTTCATGATATAGTACCTGATAGAAGGACTCTGAAACAGGCACGATAAACCCCTCTCATATAGTGTATACAGTCTGATGAATAAAGCATCTTGTGAACCACCATGGATATTAGTATGAAACATGTTGTTTTCTGGAATGAAAAAGTTTGGACACACTCCCTCATACACCCATTTGAGAATGAGTTTAAAACAGACCCAGAAACACTCCAGGAGATTTTGTGGAGTCCATTGTGAAATTATGTTTTCTTGAAGCACCCAGAAAATAGCCGTTTTTATGTGATAGGAACACAGTGATTTTCTTTCCTCACTTAATTGACAGTTGATTACTTTGTTTAAGAACCATTTCAATAATCCATAAGTTAAAAATTGGCAGTGGTTCATTGAAAACACAAGTTTTTGTTCTGCCAAAGAGAATGATATTCTCCACTCGTTGTTTTCATGATTTCCTAGCTTATGTCCTATTGCGACAAAATGACACCCGCTTCTGATTATATCATCAACAACATGAGGCTGGGGCCACATGTGACACCTGTCAATCCATGAGGAGGCAGATGGAGGCCAAAGGTCAGAAGCAAAACTGTGGGCATGATCGATCTCTAATCGGGGGACTTCCATGATATTAAGAGTGCATGGTCCATGTTTTACACAAGTAGGCTCTTGCAGTAATTTTTTTTCAATGTATTTAGAACTAGATATATATAATCTTTCCTTCATTCTTAAACTTGAAAACAGAACACAGCTATGTGCTTCAGGTATTGGTACATGTAACCAGAGTAAAGTGAAGCCTGGGGGGCTCTCTGAACTGTCCGTTAGAATTGGCACAAATCTTTTTGTATTGTTGTACTGGATCTGAGACCTCTCCCAGAACACTCGATAATTAGTTGGCCATTCCATAATGTCCATATCAGATTCCACAAATCTGAATCCTTCTCCGTGACTCCCACACCATAAAAAGTTCCTCTTATTGGGTTCTAGGTAATTTTGCACTATATTCATAACTTCAATGATATCTCTCCTCATGGCCAACTGTTGTGGGGTTCCCAGTTCATGTATTTTACACAAGCCAATAAAAACAGATTCCGACAAACTCTCTGAACATCTTCTTCTGATGAAAAAATAAGATAATTTAATTGTAAAATAATTAGTTATGTATTTTGAAAATATATTCAAAATGTATTCTACTCTAATATGTTTTATTTTCATACCTGTGTGTCGTGTTTCCGGAATCCATTTTACTTGACACACTTTGCTGGAAATTTTTAATGTCTATTTTTAGCTTTAGACATTTAGTGGAATTAAAATGAAAAGTATCATTGAATTTAATTTCCAAAGTCATGCTGTTGTCAATATTAAATGAGGATATTAAAATACCTTTTGAATTTATATTTCAATCAAGTCCTTTTATTAAACGTCATTAAAGGAGCAGTGTTTGTTGTGGTGACATTTTAAATACACACATCTCACATTCTGTCTTTTAATGTAATACTAACTTGGTTTAATATTTGCGTAAAGCTGGGATCATATTGTTGATAGAGACATTAATTGACAGACTCCCAGATGTTTGCCTCAATCGTTTCATCTGATTTATATCCGTGTTCTATGTCCTCCGCACACACCTGGGTATTTCTAATGTTTAAAGATTTTATTTTAGATCGATCACTGCTTGTTATCTTCATTTTTTTTCTTCAAAAAATAGGGACGATAATCGATTACAGAATTGCTGTTATCTGACTCTGTTTAACCAGTAAATTGTATCAAAATTCACATTTGTCGTCTTTTTACAAGTAGCTCTGTTCATATACACAAGAAAAGTAAAAGAAAAGAAGACTTAAAGAGTTAGAAAAATTCCGTTTACTATCTTTATCAGGGAACGATGTATACATACATTTCATATCATCAATAGACAAGGAAATAGAAAACCATGGATATGAGAAATCAGACATGTGTAAACAGAGCATGTAGTTCATTCTGCATTGTCAGTAGATAATCAAAAATATGTTTAGACTTTCACTTTATTCTTAACATTATAATTAATTAAAAGATTAATAGAACAACGCTCCACAAATTTACCAATTATAAAGAGGAATTATAAATTACACCCAAATCAGATTTAATCGCAAAAACATTTATGCCCAAATTTTCTTTCTGAAAATTTCGTTTAAGTATAGATAATTTTGCAATTTCATTCTTTTTTTCCTACTACTAGTAACCAATACTAGTGTTCGCTCATCGGGTAACCACTTACAATCAGTTATATTTTCCCTCCAATGCAAATGCAAATATACATTTATAAATTGTGGTTCATAAATTGCAAGCAGGTTTAAAACTGTATCAATGAGAGACAAAAAATAAATTTTCTCATAAATTTATTCAGTGTTAGTTTTTCTTTAAACAGCAGTTCTGATAATCTTTGCACATGAGCAAGATATGGCCTTATTATTGATAAACTTTCGTGAAATAATGCAGGTTCTTGTTATACATTGTCCACAATTTTTCTGAAGAATTTGTAGAAGGTGGGAAACGTTAATTGAATCCTTTCCTATATATTTTTTCTTCAGATTTTCAAGTACCTCCTCTACAGATAAACTACAATGGAGCTACACCCAGGGACCAGGGGACGTCCCTCTACTGGGGGCTACTATTGGTCAACTTCTACAACAGCGGACCGAGATGCATCCTGACAAAACAGCTGTGGTGTTCAGTGGCTCCGGGGACAGGTTATCCTTCTCTGAGCTGTTAGAACAGGTCAGGCTACCAACAGAAACTTAGACGTTTAAGAGTAGAATGTTCAGACTCGCATTTTCGTACTTTACAAATCACTTCTTTGAGAAATGTTAAAATATTTTTTCAAGAGTATTTTTTATTATACTAGTCAATTTAAATATGCCAGGTATTTATAAATCAACAGATTCTAACCGTTGATTCTGGAAAAAGGAAGTGAACAGTGCTTAAAATTGATAGAAAATAACTGCAATACTGCCAATAGTTAGTTTATGTTGTATTGTAAAATGATGTTATCCTGTTTTTAATGTTCATTTCTAGATTGTAAATGTAACATACAAACTATACTGCTGTTTAACATTAGGCTGATCAGCTGGCAGCAGGTTTGCTGAGTCTGGGCGTGAAGAAGGGAGACAGAGTGGGGATCTGGGGACCAAACATGGTGGAATGGGTCGTAACACAGTACGCTACCGCCAGAGCTGGGATCATTCTGGTAAATGTAGTAAAAATGTGGATGGATCTGTTTATGCTATGTATATTTAAATATAGATGTATTTATTTTAGAATGACGTTATTTTTATTTAGGTGAATATTAACCCACAGTACAGACCAGAAGAACTGGAATTTACACTAAATAAAGTAAGATATTAAGTTATCAGCAGAATTGTTACACATATAGATATTGTAAGAAATAACACATGTTCACACTGAATAAAGTATTTATCAACAGAATTATTCGGTGTAAACCCTCAGTAAAAATATCATCGGAATACAATACATTTACACTGTAAATAAAGTAAGATATAAACAAATCTACTACATACATCTGTATTTACACTAGATAAAATGTTTTATTACAGTTGAATTGTGAAAGTGAATTAGTACATGTTCACACTAAATAAAGTCAGATTTTAACAGACTTACTACATATTAGATACCACAGAGTCTGACACATCTGTTTCATGTTTGGATATTTTACTTGAAAAAGACATTATTGGAAATCTATCAAACAAGCTCTATGATAAACGTGATGACTTTTACTTTACAATCGTCAACATCCCTTACTTATAAAGCAATATACCTTCATCACCTGCGTGCTGAGTTTATATATCTCGATTCATTCAATACACAAAAGCATGCTCTACTGATGAACACTTTCTAAAACGAGGTAAATTATTGAAAAACAAGTTGATGAAACAGGAATATCAGCAGTCTCATTTAAAGTCATCATTTCGTAAGTTCTATGGTTGATACAATGACCTTGTCAGCAAATACAATATATCATTGAATCAAAAGCTGACTGACTTGTTTTCATACTAATTGTGATCATGACAAGGAGCACACGGCGGGTGTGACCGGTCAGCAGGAGATTTTCACTCTCCCATGGCACCTGATACCACCTCTGATGTTTTGGAGGTCTGTCTTTGCCCTGCCCCTATTTTGTATTGCTTTACGGACATTTGATCTTCGGTACTATTTGTTATCTACATATGTTCCATGTTCACACTTAATAATGTAATATATCAACAAAACTACTATATTTTTATGCCAAATTAATAAAGATATCAACAGACTTTCGACATGTTTACACTAAATAAATTATGATATCAACAGTATTACGAAATGTTTACAAAAGATAAATTAAGATATCAACAGAACTACTCCATTTTTACTCTTAATAACATATTATATCAACAAAATAAGTACTTTTTTGTGCCAAGTAAAGTAATATATCAACAAAATTACTGCATATTACACTAAATAAAGAATAATAACAGATTTACTACATTTTAACTTAAAATTTTTAATATTAAATAAAGTAAGAAATCAACAGAATTATGACATGTTCACACTTAATACATTAAAGTAAGATATCAACATATTTACTACATAACATGTTTATGTTACATGTTTTGCTAGGTTGGTTGTAAAGTTTTGATAGCAGCAGAAGATTTCAAAGGTCAAAGCTATTATGAGACACTGTTTTACTTGGTGCCAGAATTAGCAGCTACCAAAGCTGGACAAATACACAGTCATTTGTAAGTAAACCAGGGGTAGACAAATAGAATTTTGCAGTACTTGCCCTCGGACAGGTTACCATCGTAAAACTACTTGTCCTACCAAAAAAATATGCTTGTCCCAACTTTTTCTTAAATAACATAGAATTCAAGCATTGATATTAAATTATTTCTTTTGAGTGAGACACCAAAACACTACATGAAGACCATCCTAGATCTAAAATCGCGAAATTCTTCCACAGATAAATTTAGAGGAAAATGTTTAAGTTAAACGTGTTTAAGGAGTATTCCTCCTCAAAATTCTGCAATAAGATACACCTTTTTTTAAATTAATGTATTTATTTAATGAAAAAGGTAAAGATATCGAACTTTGATCAATCTCATAAAACCCACAAACAACACGAATCTGTGAACAGAAACACTACTGCATGACGATTAAGAGATCGATATCATGGCTGTGTGATTGCCAGGGAACAGCAATCAACAACAATTTTAATACCACTAGCATCTGTATTCACAGTATGAATTTAATATTTTGACAAATGTCTAAATTCCCATACAACGTCTTTGACGACATCAATAACTCAATGTTTTAAGACATCTGCATATTTTAACAACACATTAATGGGTTAATTCTAGAGGAGTTCTGATTATTCGATCTACGTGCAGTGGTCAACAGCAGTGAAAACAGGTGCTTTGCTGTGATTCATGTGATTACTTTAAAAGCGATTACACAAAAAATATTTGAGAACTGTACATGATTTTTTTTGTTAATTGGAAAAAAGTACTTGTCCGCGGGCAGGCACCTGTTATCAAATTACTTGCCCTCCAACCAAAAATGGTTGTCCCGGGCGTCGGGCAATGCTATTTGTTTAGCCCTGCAGTAAACTAACATTTATTTATCATTAATTTATTATTTATCATTAATGAAACCTGATAGCAGTGAATAACAATAGTAAGGAAACTGGAGCATGTGTATAGAGATTAACAATGCTAGTTTTGTTCACTATAATTATGAAAGCATTTAATCTTAACAAGCAAACAAGGAAACTAACAACTTAACTGACAAATTCGACAATTAAAAAAAAAAACAACATATAATGTGATTGATAAATGAGATGGCTTCAGTGTTTCTCTTGTCAACTTTCCATGTTCATGAAAAAAATCCATTATCACCTTGTATATCCTGTCTCTGTTTAACTCCTTATTCAGAAGACAAGATAGTGCACTGAATACACTGACAGCCAATTTACTGAGACAGGCCAAGAAAAATAAGACTAATGTACAAGTGTATACATGTATGTTCTTGTATCAGAGCTTTCAACGTTTTTAAAGTCACTATTTTGCAAACTATGGTCATTATTTTGACTTGGGTTGCAAGTAAAGCTTATTGATGGATCCAATTTTGAATGACGTGACAGTTTATTGTTTTCATACATAAAGTTTCTATAGATTACACAATACAGAGGACTCACTGAGAGTGTGACCAATCAGTTGGATATGCTTGTCCCCTCTAATGCACTATGACTGTCCCTAATCTGGGGCCATAATTTTTCCTTGTTCTCAAATTGAGTCTGTTATAGGACCCAAGAGATCATAATCCTAACCACATTAATACAAACCTGAGAAATATTGTATCATATGTAATGAAATGCACTTAAGAAAAATAAAAAATATTTTTTATATCTTTTTTTTTCAAGAAACTGTTACACAATTAATTCTTGTTAACACCTTATTTGGGTATTGAAGATTTAACAGCACAGCAAATCATCTTGATTATACAGATGCAAATATTATTCATCTATGAAAAATAGCAAATAATTCTATTTTACAATTGATTACCTCGTACAGGTTTTGACTGAAACGACACTGAATGGTATTCTTCTTTAAATATGAATTTCGTTTTTTCTCAACAGTCACTAGCACGGCTAGCCAGCCTTTAATGGTTTTTGTCTCTGATTTGTATGTTCCATTTGTATTATGTCTCTTTCAAATTAAGTAAATGTATTTATGTTGTTAATATTGTTATATCTTTTTGCCCTGATTTTTAATTCTTTTTTAATCATTGTATGTAGTAAGTATTCATCTTTTTAAAGACTTCTCTAAAGCAGGTATTAAGAGAAAGTCATACTTTTTGGTGATGTTGTGTATTCCATGTACCCTTTTCTTCTTTATCTAAAATAGCAAACCCTTAGTCATGTATAGTTCTATCATGTTCTATTGAATATTAAAGCTTTAGTTATAAATTGCTTGACAGTGTTATTTTCTTGATAGAAGCTGCTTACGAACACTACATCATATAACATTTAATGATGAATATATCTGGATGTCTTGCCTATTTCATTAGAAAGATCAAGACAACTTTTTTAAACTTATTTGATTTATATATAATAACATTTCTGTGATATATCTTAATATTATCACGAAAAAAGAAGTTTCTTTGAAACTTATAAAATACTTTTTTAAAATCTTATATTCATATATGATAATATGATTTGATAATGGTTTTTGCCTTTTTTACCATTAACGGATTAAAAAAAGTATTAAAAAATACCTTTTGAAGATATAAATTTTAGAATGAATTCAACAATTCACAGGAAATGTAGTATATGATACAAAAGGTTAAGTTAACATAAGTTGATGTACTTGTATTTGTATCAAATCAATCCTCTTAGAACGGTTTCTTTTCTATTCTGTAGGCTTCCACATCTGAAACACATTATTATGATGGGAAATAATTCCTACATGTAAGTTATCCCCATTATAAAATATTCTTTCTGGGATTCCAGAATAATTTATGTTGGGAAGTAGGTTAATATTCAATCTTGAGACATAAAGTCAAACACTTATATTATAAAAATCTACTACTGAATTAGAAACCTCTCACCCTTAAAAACCTTTTGTATTATTTTTATTTAATTTTGTAAGTGTATGAATTCCTTTGTGAACAGAGGGACAATCAAGTATAATGAGTTGATGAAGGCAGGAACAAACAAAGAACGAACGGAAATCCAGAATTTACAGACTAAACATCAGTTTGATGAACCAATCAACATACAGTTTACATCTGTGAGTAGATAATTAACCAAACATAAATCAATACATTTTAAAAAAATCTATCATGTTCATAGCAAAGAGAAAAATAAATTTTGTTTTTATTTGTGTAGAATACATGTTCAATAAAAAAAACTTTGATTGAGAGTGTATTTTCATCTTTCATTCCTTTTCCTTTTAAGAACTATTATTTTTAAAAAGAATTTGTAGAAAAACAAATATTCAGAACTAGAGTTACTATGAGCAGTGAACTCACTTGATGACCCCTTCCCCCCTCCCCCACCTCACATATGAATATAATGCCAGTGTCCATGTTTTGTTATGGGGAACCCAAAATATGTGTCGGATCAAAAAGTAAAGTAGGAGGTGCACTTGCATTATGTATAAGATTCTGTGAAAGTCTTATCAAATTTCATTCAGTGGTATGAGAGGAGTTGGGGATAAGAGATGGGTACCCCAAAGCGTAACAGACGGACAGACAGACGGACCAACGGACATGCCGATTACCATATACCCTCCCGCTTTTCAAGCGGAATGTATAAAGATAATGTAAACCAACTTTTATTCGCGTGCGAGAATTTTTCGCGAGAGACTCTTCATCGCGAATATTTCTCGCTGCGAACGTGTCCTTAAAGTCTCTTTTTCTATCAAAACAGTTCCAGAAAAGGCTTAATCGCGAAAATTAATCGTTGCGAACTAGTTAACTCCCGGTAAATCGCGAAAGAAAGTCGTCTCGATTAAAAGTTGGTTTACAGTAAGTTTTAATTATTGGTCCTAGGACTTTCAAATCTTATGATTAAATAAAGAAACTAACTGCTATTAATTAGAAAGCTGATATTTTTTTTATCATGTTTCAAGATTTGAATTAAAACAGAAAATATAAAAATACTAGACTGTCTACATTTTGCAAAATGAGAAATATAATAAGATAGATATTCGAGAAGTTGATTTTTGCCGACAAAATTGTGGATAATTATGAGTTTTACCTAGGGATACAAAACAATACGAGTATTGTGTTATTCATTCTAATGGTATTTTGCTTGTGTATCTTAAAATAAGCAAACTGTGATTTCTAAATGTGCTATTATAGCTTCCTGAAAATGTATTCACTTTTTTGTTGTACAAAAAAAAAAAAATCGCTACGTTTTTAAATTAATTATTTTAGCTAATTACTGATAAATTTATGTAACAAATGATTTGGATTTAGGGAACAACAGGTAATCCCAAGGGAGCCACATTATCACACCACAACATCGTAAACAACAGTTATTTTGTGGCTAAAAGACTTAACTATGACAAAGAGGTATGTGTACAGGTTTCTTCGTTTTCTCTTAAAAATGATAAAAAAGTTTTTAATTTGTATTCTTCTATATAACATGGGTATATTTATACTTTGTGACAGTTTATGTTTCCTTATTTCAAGAAATATACAACTATATAGTAGTGAACAGCTATTCAACTGACAGAACAAATTTGAAGATTTAAAAAACATTGCTAAATTTCATGTCTAAAATTATTTCACTAAAATGTTTCTTATTGATTTTTCTTTGATTTCCTCTAGACTATCTTTAACTTTGATTTAATTCTACAAGTGGTAATCCAACTCATACTCAGTTCCGTTTCTAAGGAGGAAATTCATCAATATAATATATATGAGTTTTGAATATTTTCAATATCCCAAAGAACCATTTCTAGTACATTGCGGGTTCCAGTAAATGTTCAACGAAGCCTCTTTCTTTACTCCTTACTGAGATATTGACAGTAGTGAAAGAAAAACCACCGTGCAACAATATATTCGAGAAATCATGTTGATACTCAGAAATTCCAAAGAACTTTTGGAAGTCTGACACATCTGTTTCATACTTGGATATTTTATTTAAAAAAGACATTAATGGTAATCTAACAACCAACCTATATGATAAACGTGATGACTAACTTTTCTATCGTCAACTTCCCTTACTTATGTGAAGCCCGGTATGGAGATAACGAACAGTATTCAATCTCAAAGTCCATAAAACAATACACAACAAGAGCAGAGCAAACACGGACCTCCGAAACATCAGAGGTGGGATCAGGTGCCATGGAGGAGTGTAGCAATATACCTTCATCACCTGCATACGGAGTATATATATCTCAGTTAATTCGATACGCAAGAGCACGCTCTACGTATGAACAATTTCTATAAAATGAGGTAAATTATTGACAAGCAAGTTGATGAAACAAGAATATCAGCAATCTCATTTAAAGTCATTATTTCGTAAGTTCTATGGTCATACACGTACAATGATCTTGTCAGCCAATACAATTAATACTGTCTGACGTTTTTCATACTAATTGTTAGTATATTATTTATACACTGAATTGACGACAGATTTTTCTGTTCCATTCGGAGGTCCGTATTTGCTCTGCTCCTAATTTGTATTGTTCTATGGACTTTGAAACTGAATCCTTTTGTTATCTCTATGTCCTTCCTTGGACAATTTGAAATTAAAGATTTTACCAAAATCAACAGCTTAAAAACTTAGTACGACTTTTCTCCTTTTTATTATCAACAGCTTAAAAACTTATGACTTTTCACCTTTGTATAAACAACCATTCCCCACGATAAATTAAATGCCAAATATGTCATATTTAAGTATCCATGTCTGATTTACACCATCTATTGAATATATTGTTCCACAGTACTCTTGAAGTTGAACTTTCACTACTGTTGTATCTTGTTTTTAAGGACTTTTTGAAGTTTTGGAATCCAAAATACATATGGTGATTCAAATTCACTTTGGTTCTGCGGGATATTAAAAGTATTGAAAACTGACATATGATTTGAAGAATTTCTTCCACAGAAAGGGATTTTTGAATTCAAGTTAGATTTCAATTGTAGAATAAAATCCAAATTATTCTAAAATACATTTTATATAATAAGTCTTACAGACAAAGGCCTGTTTTGTCAGTGGGACCAGTACCCTCTGATCATGTTTTTTTTTTATCTGAAATTCTTGTTCACTTCTACTTAGTTGAATGCGTATGAATTGATAATGAATAATCATTCCAAAATGTTTCTTAAAGTTTTTTGATTTTAGCAACCGCATTGGTTTAACTTCCATTCTCAGATATGCAGTTGTACAGCCTTTCATATTTTCATGAGAATGACAGAAAGACCTAATTAGTGCTTAATATATTTATTACGATGTTTTGTTTACAATTAAACAGGACACTAGGATTTGTATACCTGTACCACTGTAGCATTGTTTTGGAATGGTAGTGGGCAGCCTCTGTAATAATGTTTGTTATGTTTACAATTAATTAAACAGGACACCCGGATTTGTATGCCAGTACCACTTTACCACTGTTTTGGAATGGTATTGGGCAGCCTTTGTAATGTAACGGCAGGATCTTCGTGTGTTTATCCCTCGCAGACATTTGACGCGGGTGCAACACTCAAAGCAGCTGCTGAGGAAAAGTAAGGGTCATGTCAGTTGTAAAACTGAGATGTAATATTTATCCCTTTAATCTTACCTTTCTAATGCCTTTCTCTGTGACTAACCACCCTGGTTCCATCCTAGATGTACCTCTATGTATGGAGTCCCTACTATGTTTATAGACATGCTCAATCATCATGACTTTGACACCTTTGACCTTTCCTCTTTGTACACTGGGGTCATGGCAGGGTCACCGTGTCCTATAGAAACGTTACGACAGGTCATTAGTCGGATGAACATGGACAGAGTCACAGTAAGTTAGAAATCTCACATCAACGACTGGGAAACACACGATATAAATGTCAGGATAGTATCATATATACTAGTACATATCAAAGTAAAAAAAAAATATATGAATTGAAGAATTACATCAGTGCAAATTGACAATGAAAATATAAACATTACTACTGAATGTTTCTCAAAATCAGTAGAAACTGGCAATCTTTTGGTTTATAATTTTTTTTCTTCATAAATTCAACAAATTAATTACGTATTTTATTATTTTCTATGAACCATTTTAACGCAGATTAAAAATGTTAAAGTTTACTTTTAGGATATAAATTTCTAATAATTAATTTGTCATTTTTTTTCGCTCTACTGGTCAGAGACCAGAAGAGCTTATGCGATAGTAATGCGTCCGGCGTCCGTCCGTCTGTCCGTCTGTCTGTCTGTCTGTCCGTCTGTCTGTAAACAATTTTTCAAAATGCTACTCCTCCTACAGTTTTGGTCTAATTTCAATATAACTTGGCACACAAGTAGACTACACTAAGGTACATAATTCTGTGTATCGGTTTTTGATTTCGATGAACGGTGTTGCCGTGGTTACTAAAAATAGAAATTTCTGTGAAATTCTTTCAAAATGCTACTCCTCCTACAGTTTTGGTCTGATTTCAGTATAACTTGGCACGAAAGTAGACTCCACTAAGATACATAATTCTGTGTATCGGTTTTTGATTTCGATGAACAGTGTTGCCGTGGTTACTAAAAAAAGAAATTTCTGTGAAATTCTTTCAAAATGCTACTCCTCCTACAGTTTTGGTCTGATTTCAGTATAACTTGGCACACAAGTAGAATACACTAAGATACATAATTCTGTACATCGGTTTTTGATTTCGATGAACGGTGTTGCCGTGGTTACTAAAAATAGAAATTTCTGTGAAATTCTTTCAAAATGCTACTCCTCCTACAGTTTTGGTCTGATTTCAGTATAACTTGGCACACAAGTAGACTACACTAAGATACATAATTCTGTGTATCGGTTTTTGATTTCGATGAACAGTGTTGCCGTGGTTACTAAAAATAGAAATTTCTGTGAAATTCTTTCAAAATGCTACTCCTCCTACAGTTTTGGTCTGATTTCAGTATAACTTGGCACACAAGTAGAATACACTAAGATACATAATTCTGTACATCGGTTTTTGATTTCGATGAACGGTGTTGCCGTGGTTACTAAAAATAGAAATTTCTGTGAAATTCTTTCAAAATGCTACTCCTCCTACAGTTTTGGTCTGATTTCAGTATAACTTGGCACACAAGTAGAATACACTAAGATACATAATTCTGTGTATCGGTTTTTGATTTCGATGAACGGTGTTGCCGTGGTTACTAAAAATAGAAATTTCTGTGAAATTCTTTCAAAATGCTACTCCTCCTACAGTTTTGGTCTGATTTCAGTATAATTTGGCACACAAGTAGAATACACTAAGATACATAAATCTGTGTATCGGTTTTTGATTTAGATGAGCGGTGTTGCTGTGGTTACTAAAAATAGAAATATCTGTAAAATTGTTTCAAAATGCTACTCCTCCTACAGTTTTGGTCTGATTTCAATATAACTTGGCACACAAGTAGTATACACTAAGATACATAATTCTGTGTATCAAATTTTAATTTTGATGAACTGTGTTGCCGTGGTTACTAAAAATTGAAATGTCTGTAAAATTGTTTCAAAATGCTACTCCTCCTACAGTTTTGGTCTGATTTCAATATAACTTGGCACACAAGTAGACTACACTAAGAACATAAAGAGACTTTATCAACGATCATTATTCTATAAATTGCTGTTGTAAAGTTTCAAATCCCAGCTGCTTAAGTACTCTTCTCTTCCTTTGCTATAAGTTCAAACCAGTAGAGCTTCAGTCTCGACAGAGACTTCTGGTCTATTGAAAAAAAAACCCAGAATTTTTATTCCTTTATAATAGAGAATATTTCTATTATTGAATAAAGAAGCACTCGTTCATGTTTGAGTCGTTAGGCATTGCATGTCTTATTAAGTTTTTTTTTAATTCCATGTGGATAAAAAAAGTTCCAGTATTAGATAATAGTCCAATGACGTCAATATGAAATACTGAGCAAAATATCTATTTGATATATTTCTGATATGTTTCTGTAGGTTTGTTATGGACTTACTGAGACTAGTCCAGTCACCCATCAAAGCCTACCGACAGATGAACCAGAAAAACGAGTAACCACCGTGGGTCAACCCCAGAGTCATGTAGAGGTATGTGTTTATACAGATTGGAATTGTTAACAACTAGATGACATTTTTAGAATGAAATGTGGAGATAACAGGCCGTAAGCAAGCTCAAATATCCATAAGAAGCAGAAGAAACACAAACCTCTAAACACGTAAGAGGTAGGATCAGGTGCCATTGACGAGGAAGCATCCTATGATGACTGCCACACCCGCCTTTTGCTCTCTTTATTGGGAAAAAACGTTAAATCCATAAACTGTTTAATGTGTAAATAATGACCTTATATTTAGTATGGAAAACGTCAGTCAGCGTTAAACTCATGATCAATTGTATTTGCTGACAAGGTCGCTGTATCGACCCAAGAACTTACAAAATGATTACTTTAAATTTCTTGTACTTGTATTTATATTCTTGTTTTATCAACTTGTATGTCAAAAACTTGCCCTGTTTAAAAAAGTTAGCTGCAAAAGTGATGACAGAACTTTGTTAATAGCTTGCGATTTAAATTTTATCTGGATATCAAATCAACATATGAATAGAAATTACTGTTAATTGATAATTCATCCACATCTTCTTACTTTCAAATTCAGAGTAGCTGTGTGTACAGTTAAATGATTTAGAGGAAAATAAATTTGCAAATGTTTTAAAATGTAAAGACAAAAGCGGTCTGAAATAAACGTTTTGCCTTACAATCTAAAGTTCTGATCAAGTGTCTTGCAGTTCTTTTTATCCAAAAAGGTTCTATTAAAGTATTTGGCAGCGTATGATTATATATACATACTTGTAACTTTTAACAGGTCGGAGAGTTTAAAAGAAATCGGGTATTATCCGTGAAATCGCGTATAATACTCGATATTAGGGTATCGTTGAATCCGCGAAATCGGGTATAGGAGGTGTAATCACCTAATAAAACTTAAACAACGGGATGGCGCATGTTGCCGAGCTAACTTTCATCTAGGTACACATGTGTTTTAAAGGTATCACTAGCCAAGTAAGAATTTGGGCGTCAAGAAATTAGATTAATGCGCTCGGGACAACAAATATCCTTGGAGCTCAGTACAATTCATGATCTGCACACAAAAAGGCGTTAGATTTGCTATATATTTTTCCTTATGTTGAAAGTATATGCATCTTCCTAATGTTCATTCCCAACACAACAGAATTGTAAAGTATTAGAATTCGGGAATCTATAATAATTCCACATCAACACGACAAACATGAACAATTTGTAAATAAATCAAATTATACGGAAACGCATTTCACACACCAGATATGATGCCATGTATAAACAAGGGATTGTCTATCGTATCTAATTATGCGTCATTAATTACTTTCACATTCATCTTGTGCATAAAATCAAATTTATTTATGAATGTATAAATAATGTAAAGATAAAAATGTCTAAAATTGCGGCTAAAATAACCCTCTTTCTCTTTTTTTGAAAATCTTTTCTTTTTTATTTATCAATCAAACATATTTGCAGAATATGTCTTCAACATTTAGCAGAGACAGTGATAGTTTCAGGAATACAGCTTATGAGAGAACATAACTGTTGATCGTTTCATTTCGCCAAGTCATCAATATTTTACCATTTCTTGGCGACTTCAAAGGGGGGGGGGAGGGGGGGGGGGGCTAAAGGCTTCTTGACCACCTCTGACAAAACAACCTCGACTGTGTTCTACATGTGTCCAAGAGACCTCTCTTTAAATGTCACGGTCGGTTAAACTCGGTCATATATTTTTAATCGTAGGGAAGATTTATTCATCAAATAAAAATCATATACATTGTAGATAAACAAAAAGCAACCTGTTATTTTCTAACACAATATAAGACTACAAGTAACTAGAATTCATGTAAATTTTTTAAACACATTTTTTCATTATAGATGAGTATTAGGAAAAGTTATTGCCATGAGTAATACGTATCAGAGATAAAATAACTAAAAGAAAACTGTGACATATTGTCTAGAACCAATCAGATAGTGCGTTGTATTAGCATATTATAATGAGGTATAAGATAGCGATAAAAAAAATATAGAAGGTAAAGAGGTAAAATTTACCCTGTCTATGAAATAGTATAATAGAGAAAGGAAGTGGCTACGATTTTTATGAAATTTTAATGTCGAATGAGAAATTATATTCCCAAAAAGTAAGACAAGAGTTTCCAAGGCAACTGAACACTCCATTATTTCAGTTTGTTCATTCACATGTTCATAAACGTAAAAACTATAAGAAATGTGAAAACTTGACTATGTAATTCATATTTCAATATGACTGTACCTCGATCTATATTGAGAAATTCAATGTATTATAAGCTCATGAAAAGATATACACATTTGACTTTTATTTATACCCCCCCCCCCAAAAAAAAAACAAAAAAAAAACAAGCAAATCCTGTTCATATGACTTCTCGCTCTCAATTTTCACACAAAATGCATAAAATAAAGGTAAAATAGCATATCTTGTATCTATTAATATGCAACCAAAAAATTTACGTTGTCTTTGAATAAAAATTTCATGCTAAATCGACATTAAAAAAGTTACTCAATGACATATTCAATTAGCTATTTTCAAACTGTTTTCCCGTGGGTATTTATTTAATCTTATTTTATCTTCTTCTTTATAAAAACGTTGGTATTCTATTATGGCAGAGATATATACAATTATGACTCGTTTATACTGTACTCTCTAACTGTTAGGAATAATTTATATTTCACGAGAAAGGGACGCCATACATTTTTCAGTAAAAATACATAACACGGCGTTAGTTGTTTAATTTCTTTAAAATTTCACGTTTTGTGAATAGTGCACAAATTAGAAAATTAAGTATATGGAATACTTTAATGGGAAATAAAGACAAACAAAGTGTAGTTATTTGTTTTTAGAAATTATATTGAAAAATAATAACGCCATAGCATTGTGTCCTCTTTGTTACCCCAACAGTGTTTGTCGTGTGATTTTAAACTTATTTGACAACCGTATGAATTAGGTTTAATAAAAATAAATCCACAAGATACTGATATACAAGTAACAGTTACTGGCATAATGCGCCGTTGCTATATTCTTTAGTTTTTATAGAAAGTTGCACGGAATACCCGATTTTGCGGATTCAACGATACCCTAATATCGAGTATTATACGCGAATTCACGGATAATACCCGATTTCGAGTATTTCTCTCCGACCTGTTCAAAACTTGTTTGATAAATTTAGCTTATCTCTGCGTTAAATTAGTGCTTAAAAAACGAGAAAAAATAATGTATGTATCAATACATGTATATTTCCAGTGTAAAGTGATTGGAGAAAACGGTGACATTTGTCCAGTGAACACACCGGGGGAGTTATGTACCCGGGGATACAACACGATGCTTTATTATTGGGACGAACCATCTAAAACACAAGAGGTCATCGCCATTGACCGATGGTTCCATACCGGGTAAGGAGACATCATCCTGAGAGAAGTCATTCTCTCCTGAAACGTTGTTAAGTCCGTAGTATACTTACTTATCATTTCAGAACTGAATCCACAACCCATTATAACATAATAAGTCCTTAATATACACATGTACTTACCTCACAATATTTCAGTATAGAATCCACAGTTCAATAGAACATAATAAGTCCTTAATATGATCTTAAAATGGTTTGCAGTTTGCGCATCTTTCATGTAAAAGATGAAAATAACGAACAGTCACTGTGATGGATCTTAGTAAATCAATACAAATGTGATGAGAAGGTTTAAAATTCGGATCATGTAAATTTCAGAGGTGGGATAATGTGCCTATGAAAAACATTTAAAAATTCCTAAGTAAATATCCCTCATTCACTCGATGTTTAGTGTAAGTAAACGAAATTATCACTTATTTATATTTTTGATTAGCTAAGACAATTTAATTATAATAAGCTGGAAAGAATATGAAGAAAATGCGCATGTAGCAGAAAGGAAATGAAATAGTATGTTTATTAACAGGGATATAGCAGAAATTGATGAAAGCGGCTTCTGTAAAATTGTGGGCAGAATAAAGGATTTAATCATCCGAGGTGGAGAAAATGTTTATCCAACTGAAATAGAACAAACCATCTATAAACATCTCAAAATCAAAGACGTGCAGGTTATTTTTGTTTTTTTCAAAATATCTATTTTGATATTGATGAGTAGTGATATACTTTATTGAAATAATAAGCTTTATTATAATGTATTATATTGTTGAAAAGAATCATGTTTAATTCAAGTTTGATTCAATTCAATTTTAAAGTCCTCAGATGTTAAGTTTTGGTTCAGTACTAAAACAAAGTATTTAGCCAGATCAGAAGAGAAGCGTCTTTATTGAATTGAGTCAAACTGAAATTGAGGAGTTGGGGAATTAAATAACAATAAGCTTTAGGTTGGATTTAGTGAATGATGAGATTAATTTCTAACGTGTGTTTCAGCTCTGTTCTGTAGAGCTTCATGACGAGGGTTTTTGTTCTGTTCTTGTTCTATATATAGGTTGTAGATATCTTCTGATGAGTGTTTTTAATGGTTTTCTGTTCTATATATAGTTTGTAGGGTTCTCCTAATGTCATCTTTGTCCTGTTCTATCAAATAGGTTCTTAAAATCTCTAGATGAGAGTTTTTTGTCCTATATATAGTCTTTCTCCTGCCAGCTGATTTCTTCTTTTCTATTTGCTAGTATATGTTGTAGGGATTCGTGACGAATCCTGTCGTTTTGTTCTTTATATATATTAGGTTGTATAGACCTCCAGACAACTGTTTTGTTTTGTTCTATACATAGGTTGTAGGCCAGAGTTCCTGACGAGTGTTTTTGTTCTGTTATATATGTAGATTATAGGGTTATCCTGACGATTGTTTTCGGTCTATATATAGATCTTTACGAGTGTTTTCGGTCTATACATAGGCTGTAGGGGTTCCTGATGAGTGTTTTTGTTCTGCTATATAAGTAGTTATAGGGCATCTTCGCTAGCTAAGGATGACGATCAGCTCCTCTTCTCTTTATCCGTAAAAGAGGAGAGGAGCGGATCGTCACCCTTGGCTAACGAAGATGGTTATCCGGTTACCCTGGGGAGTGTTTTTGTTTTATATATAGGTTGTAGGGGTATCTTTTCGAGTGTTTTTGTTTTATATATAGGTTGTAGAGGTATCCTTTCGAGTGTTTTCGTTCTATATTGAGGTTGTAGAGGTATCCTGACAAATGTTTTCGTTCTTTTTATAGGTTGTAAAGGTATCCTGACGAGTGTTTCGTTCTATTTATAGGTTGTAGGGGGTATCGTGACGAGTGTCTGTTCTATATATAGGTTGTAGTGGTATCCTTTAGAGTGTTTTTTTTCTATATATAGGTTGTAGGGGTATCCTTTCGAGTGTTTTTGTTCTATATATAGGTTGTAGGGCTATCCTTTTGAGTGTTTTTGTTCTATATATAGGTTGTAGGGGTATCCTTTCGAGTGATTTTGTTCTATATATAGGTTGTAGGGGTATCCTTTCGAGTGTTTTTGTTCTATATATAGGTTGAAGGGGTATCCTGACGAGTGTTTTTGATTTATATATAGGTTGTAGGGCTATCCTTTCGAGTGTTTTCGTTCTATATTGAGGTTGTAGAGGTATCCTGACAAATGTTTTCGTTCTTTTTATAGGTTGTAAAGGTATCCTGACGAGTGTTTCGTTCTATTTATAGGTTGTAGGGGGTATCGTGACGAGTGTCTGTTCTATATATAGGTTGTAGGGGTATCCTTTCGAGTGTTTTTGTTCTATATATAGGTTGTAGGGGTATCCTTTCGAGTGTTTTTGTTCTATATATAGGTTGTAGGGCTATCCTTTTGAGTGTTTTTGTTCTATATATAGGTTGTAGGGGTATCCTTTCGAGTGATTTTGTTCTATATATAGGTTGTAGGGGTATCCTTTCGAGTGTTTTTGTTCTATATATAGGTTGAAGGGGTATCCTGACGAGTGTTTTTGATTTATATATAGGTTGTAGGGCTATCCTTTCGAGTGTTTTTGTTCTATATATAGGTTGTAGGGTATCCTGACGAGTGTTTTTGTTCTATCTATAGGTAGTAGGGGTATCCTGACGAGTGTTTTTGTTCTATATATAGGTTGTAGGGGTCCCTGACGAGAGGTTGGGGGAGGAGATTTGTGCCTGGATACAAGTTAAAGAGAACCAATCTGTTACTGAGGAGGAAATAAAGTCTTACTGTAAAGAAAAGGTGAGTCATGTCTTACTATTAAGATAAGGTAAATCAAATAGTACTGTAAAGAAATGGTGAATATTTCCCTCGATAGGAAAAGGTAAATCAGACTGTAATGTAAAGAAAAGGTGAATTAAGGCCAAATGCAAACAAGTTAAATCGAGCAAAGTGTAAAAAAGAGTGAATCAAGTCATTTTGTAAAGAAAAGGCAATTAAAGCTTCAAGAAGCTTTGGTAGAATTTTTATATATCAATTTTCCATTTAAACGACGTTTTTTTATTGTAAGTTATATATAGTTTTACTTGAGAATTTGTATGACTTAAGTCTTTTTTAACAGCTTGCGCGATTCAAGGTTCCTAAGTACATCGCCATTGTTGACGAGTTTCCACTGACGGTAACAGGGAAAGTCCAAAAATTCAAAATCCGGGAGATTGCCATGGAGAAACTTAGACTTGAACACATTAGACCACACTAATAGTCTTAAGGTCATTCGCATCGTACATGTACATACAATTTACAATATACCTTTTCCACTTAAAATTTCCCGAAATATTCTAAATTTAAAATCATTATTCCATAATACCATAACACCATCAGATGTTCTTAAACTAGAAATTAGATTATATTACTAGTATTTTTGTAGAGATATCAAATGATGAATATACTTGTAATTTTTAAAGAAAAATTAACAAAACAGTAGCTTAACCATCTATTTCTTCAAAATTTTATTCATAAAAGATGTACAACATTTCCCTGCGTCAAAAAGTTGCACAAAGGTCCTTCCGTTTTTGAACTCCTTAATCATACAGGAATAGGAAAAATAGTGTTCAAAATTTCGTTGTGTACGTCCTTAAACTAGCACAGGCCGTAAAATAGTTATCAACCTGGTGAACAGATATTGTGTAACCCGGAGTACTTCAGTTGAAAATTGTCATCATTTTATATGTCTTTTATGAATGTTATATTGGTTGTGATATTTAATTCACTGGTATGATAGTTGTTACACTTTTTGAGAAATTTTAGAATTGTAATTAAGAAAATATAAGCATGCACACTTTATAAGTATATGATATGTATGGATATGCGTTTCAGAAGAGGTCATCTCAATTTATGTATGTATGAGAAAAAGAAGAAAATACATGTAGTTGATGAAATAAATGAAGGTTGTATTAAAGTTTGGTTTGTTTTCCTATTGATAGAAACAAAAGTCTGTGTCCAGGTGAATAGCCCTGATTTAAGTTTGTTTGATTTCTTACTCTTATTTATTAAGAGCCACCCCCCTCATAAATTTCTCGTCATGAATTAAAAAAGAGGGGGTAGGGGCATTTTTGAGGGGTATAAATATTGTATTTAAGGAATTATGTTTCATACTTGTTGTTTTAATATTTTTTTTCATTTGGTTTGTAATTTTTCATTTTCAAAATTATATTATCTGATATTTTGAGTCCCTTCTCAGCATTTGGTGTAGGGGCAAGACACACCCATATAATAATAAAAAATAAATAAAATCTTTATTTGTTATAAAATACAAATAAAATTGAAATCATTGCGATAATTACATCCGGAAAAATGTAATAACGTTAAAGTGATTAAGTGCAAAAAGATCAAGTTAATCCTCTACTCCTCAGTCAGGCGCACATTGGCATCCAGTTCTTTACTATTTTTTCTAGTCATCTTGAAAATAAATAAATATAATATATATTTTATTAAAATCCTTAACTGATGTAATAGGTTCAAGATAATGAGCTTAACATACTTTTAAATAAAAATATAAATCCACACCTAATGTACATTCTCTCTGGTTTTCTTAAATAACCACCCATTACATCATAAATATACATATTTAAAAAAAATCCTTGACATATCTTATGTAAGGGGTGGCCATGAAAAGAAAACAAGGAGATTATACGCTAAATATAAATGATTATATATTTTTATTTAAAAGTATAATAATGTCATCATCTTCAATTTTTTATTCATTACAAACGTTCTGAGATTCCTACAAAAAAGACACAAAGGAGTGATTCTTTTTAAATTTTATATATGCTTACAACTAGATCAGTGTAAATAAGAATATGTCGCATTAATAAATCAATGTAAGTCTGAGGATATATTGTTTTAAACATAAGTTTAACCAACAGAATATTATATTAAAACAAAATAATAACTAATGTTTTATTTTACATTATCCATAGTACAATGTATGTAAATATAATTTCATATATACATATACAAAGCTGTATACGAAGGATTTTTTAACTCATACACACACATTTTGGATCAAACTGGAATTGTACAGGGGAAAAATTAAGGCTGCTTTTAGAATCCACTAAAATTGTTCAACTGTTCACGAATCATAAACAGCAATTATCAAAAACAGACATAACAAAAAATCAAATAATATTCAAATCAAAAGAAACATGTCAGATTCAAATATTTTCTTCCATAGTCCTTTTTTATATGTATAAAAAACAGTTTAGTGTTAATATTTACATTTGGAAATATTTTCCCATATATGACACAAGAACATAAGCATTCTTACTCCTGCGTGAAACATTCGACATGTGACCCTAAATTGTTTGTTTAGTCATAGACGATCTGCGTAATTTAAAAGGGACGTCATACATGATCGAAGTGTACAACATATTTAATTTATACCATTGAGTTTTGAAAAAAAAATCCTTTATGGGTTTAACAATTTAGTACTTTACTATTTCAAATAAATCAGTCATAAATGTAGATATAAGTAATAAGGTACCTTTCTGAGTTTTATATGGATGTCAAACGGGTAGGCACTTCATTAAATCTCCCAGGAAGTGCTTCGGGCTTTATGGGATTTGATCACGTGACCAACCCGTTTTACATCCCAATAAAACTCAAAAAATGATACCTTATTTCTTAATTAATTGATACACATCTCTCAATGTTATACTGTATTTCATTTTCAGGTCATTTTTTAGATCAAGAAAGTTTGACTTTTTACATTGTAATAAATAGGTAAAATACACTGCTTAGTATATAATATAACAAATAATAATCAATGTAATGTTACAATAAAATTATAAACTCATTAGGTATAACAACGATGGTATACAAATTTAAAAAAAGCCTGAAATCATTTTAAAAACTGTGTTATGTACAATTACGATGTTTTGACGCTTGATATTACTTTTATTAAAACATGATACTCTGTATTCTATCCTTTGACGCATTCTGTAATTTATGGAATGGATATTGTCTGAGTGATTGTTGGTAAGAATAAAGAGCAGCCTGGAGGTCTCCAGTAATTTGTTGACAGATCCCCAAGATCTGCCACGATATATCTCTCAATTCTGGAGGGATATGTATCCCTTGATCACAGTGAACTAGGATCTGTAGATTACTTAGAGCTAGTTGGGAACTTAGAATGTCAATACGTCTAAAACAGAGGAACTCCAGCATATATAACAATATAAAAGGTGGGATGAGTAACCCGCCCGCTACCTTTGCCTGTAAAGCACAGTGTTGTTCTGAAACTAGTTCATTGATATAAACTCTGTCTTTGTTTAGAAGGATAACGCTTGCTACAGCTTGTTCCAATTTTGTAGATAATGACCTTCCACCTACAGCCTCGGTATACATCTGTATGTCAGTATTAAATAAATACATCAGATGTGGCTGTTTTAATTCAACTTTTGTCCTCTCTATCACATATAAAGCTTCTCTGTAGCGGCATGTCCGATAATAATACATGGCGAGGTACAACTTGTCAGAAATACAACCAAACTTGGCTGCCAATTTTAGCATGTGACAAGACATTCTATCAAAAATATATATCACTTTGTTTTTCTCATCTTTGTTGTCGTTATGTAATTCTAATTTTTTATGCATATTGTGTAATAGAAATGCAGTGTGCTGAAACATTACAGCTGTACATTTTTGTAACATGACAACTTGATACTTTGTCAAGGGGGAATAAGTCAATTGGTTTATTTGATGCATGGTTATCATAAAACAAGATAGATCTTGAGGTGGCAATGGTTCATTAAAAATTATCTCTTCCAAAAGCTCTACATCAAAATCAGCTTCTGAGATTCGAGTTTTTTCATCTAAACAAATAAAGCTTCTAGGATTAAAAAGTGCATTTAATATGAAGGGCCTTATTGAAGAACTTTTTAGGAGGGATGATACTCCGTTCTGATATGATTTATACAAACGAAGGAATAACAATGTTTGTGCTTCACCATGAATTTTAGTAAGAAACATGTTGTTTTCTGGAATGAAAAAATTAGGACATATTCCCTCATATACCCAACTAAGAATGAGTTTAAAGCAGACCCAGAAACACTCCAGAAGATTTTGTGGACACCAGTGTTGTATTTTATTCTGTTGAATCACCCAGAAAACAGCTGTCTTCATGTGGTAGGAACACAGTAATTTACTTTCTTCTGTTTGTTCATGGTTAACTACTTCATTCAAGAAAAGTTTCAATAAGCCATAAGTCAAAAATTGACAGTGGTTCATTGAATACACAAGTTTTTGTTCAGCGAAAGAGAATGATATCCTCCATTCATCGATTTCATAATTCCCTAATTTGTGTCCTATTGCTACAAGATGACATCCGTTTCTAACAATGTCACGAACAACATGAGATTTAGGCCATGAGTGACATCTGTCAATCCATGAAAAAGCTGATGGAGGCCAAAAATCACTAGCAATGCAGTGGGCATTATCAAATTCAAATCCTTGAAAAACAGAGCGACTGCATGGCCCGTGTATAGTGGACGTGGGATTTACTACTGAACATGCGTTTAATATATACATAGAACTAGATACATAAAGTCTTTCATTCAAAGTAAAGCTTGATGACAGAACCATTTCATGTGCTATCGGTATTGGTAACCAGAGTAAAGTAAACCCCGGGGGGCTCACGGAACTGTCTGCAAGAACTGGAACACATCTGTTTATAAAATAATGCTGGGCCTGAGATATGTCCCAGATCACTCGATGGTGATTTGGCCATATCATTATGTCCATATCAGAACTTTGCAGTCTGAATCCTTCACCATAACTCCCACTGCGTAGTCTGTGTTCGTTAGTATTTGTTCTTGCCTGATTTTGAACTATGTTCCAAATATCCACAACATCTCTCCGCATGGCAACCTGGTTTTGAGTTCCCAATATTTTACATAGTCCTTCGTACACAGACTCTGACAATGGCCGTGTATTTTTATTACTGAAAAGAATAATAATTCTACTAATTTAATCAAGCATTCATTTTATGACAAAGTTTTGAAATATATTGCTATCCCTAACTTTATTATATAAAGTTTGTGAATACTGTTGTTACTAAGGTCCGTTTTTAGGTCACCTGAGTCACTCAGGTGACCTATTGCTATCCGTTTTCGTCCGTCCTCGTGTGTTAACATTTGAATATTTTCAGCTTCTTCTCTGAAACCACTGAACCAATTTCAACCAAATTTGGTATACAGCATCTACAGGTAAAGGGGAACAAAAATTGTGGATTTTATGGTCCCCGCTCCCCTGGGGCTTAAGGGGTGGGGCCAAAACCGTTAAAGTTATTGCAACCTTTAAAAATCTTCTTCTTTACTCCTGGACATCAAGCAGGCAAACTATTCGCATGAATGTAATAAGCATTGAGTTTTCTACTGAAATTGTGAAAATCATACCCCCAGGGTCAGAGGTTCTAGTGCTAAGGCGGGGCTATATAGATTATATAGTGAAAATGCATTAATGCATTGATTCTTTGAAAATCTTCTTCTCTGCTCCTGGGTATTAAATAAACTAACTAAGTACATAGTTATGATAAGAGAAAGTGCCTCTTCCAAAATTTTGAATTTCATGGCCCCAGGGTCAGGGGTTATGTAGACAGGGCAAGGCTCTATTGATCATATAGTGAAAATGCATTAATTCTTTGAAAATCTTTTTCTCTGCTCCTGGGTATTTAATAAACTAACTAAATACATAGATATTTTCAGCAAGAGTGTCTCTTCCAAAATAGTGAATTTTATGGCCTCAGGGTCAGGGGTTATGTACTCAGGGCGGGGCTCTATTGATCATATAATGAAAATGCATTAATTCTTTGAAATCTTTTTCTCTGCTCCTGGGTATCAAATAAAGAACTAACGAAGCACATAGTTATAATAAAAGAGAGTGCCTCTTCCAAAATTGTGA